CCTAAAGTGCGGCTCTGGGTGGCTGTCGGCTCTGCCCCGCAGAGCCGGCCCTGCAGCGGGACGTGGCGCCGGAGGGAGCTCAGCTCCCCCCTCCCTTCGTTGGGGGCTGCCTGCTGAAAACCCAGGCATCTCAGCACCTAACTTCAGGCTCCTGAGCACTTTGCTGGGCCTCAGACACCACTCTGGGCTTGTATGTGAAAAGCTCAGAATAACACTTTGTTGCTCGGTAGGTTTTTTCTTTCATCTCTTTTTCACCTGTTGCCCATATGACTACGCTCTTGGAAAACACGCCACTGAAGATAGACGTCAGTCTTAATTACTACAGGCTAATTACCTTTAATGAGCAAATTGCCATACACCGATGTGGGATTTGGCCTGAGAAGAATTTCAGACAATCCTCTAACATCACCGATATTAGATCTTATATTCAGGTTATGCAATGATGAAGCTTGACAGTATCCTCTAATCAGATGAGGAGCACGACCCTGAAGATCTGAGACACGAATTTGCTTCTCTGCCAACATAATGTGCCAGCTTTGTTTTCAGGAGAGTACTTGCTAAAGCAGCTTCACAGTGCTACTAGCTTATTTCATTTATCCCTATGATGATTTGCATTTTAGCACTATTAGTGAAATCGAAAAAAATAATAATGAAAGCTCCAAGGGTTCAAGATGTACTGCTCCAGAACAAGATCTCAGTTTCTGGCCTTGGAGACAGTTCTCCTGCAATCAGCACTGCAGCTGCAAATACAAACAGTAAGAGAGAACAGATCTTCATAAAAAAGCTGGACTGAATCATCAAAATCTGTTGAGAATATGCCTTCCATTTAATCAAAGGAAATATTTAAGCACTAGCAGTATTCAGAAGCTACAAATTAATCGGTACTTGTAGGCAGCGATTATGTTTTCCATTTTTCTTGATATTCACATAAATATGTGTGAAAGATTGGTTGCCTGGCTCTACTATGAGTGGAGGAAGTAGCGCTCCCCACAAGTATTAGCAGAGCTAGTCGGGAATCAGCATCCGAAGAAATCGATGCCGGTTATTACCTCATGGTATACAGCAGAGTGCCGTCATCTTCCAGGCGCAGAAGTTTGTTTGGGGTTGTCATGTTGTGAGCAATAGACTTCTTGCCATTGTGGAAAAAAGTGTCCGGGGTCCAAATCTTGCTGGCGAGCAGGTTGTTAAGGGGGAGGCGTTGCATAGGTCCTTTGAATCGCAGCCTTTCGTCTTTCCAGCTTTGTCGGAAAAAAACGTCAATGGTGTATTCCTGGCACAAAGAAACAGTCGAGGTATTGCAGGATCTGAATAGAAGCGATGGTTCCAAAAATGACTTTAGCAAAGTAAATACAATGGAGTTGGGAGCCACGTGCTCAAACTTACCATTTCTGTGTCTGACACAGGACCAAAACTGGTAACATAGATGTCTGTTTTCACCTGAGTTATTCTCTCTGTAATAAATATAGGCTCTGCATTAGTAATTGCTTTAAGATGCAAATACATGCTTGTGATGCATTTCTCTATTAGCAATTTCTGACTCACTCAAAAATCCCCAAAAGCTTGAAATTAAGAAGATGTCTGAGGAGGAATTTCATCCCTGATCAAATGCAGTTGTTGACCTTTGGGAGCCCAGGCTCTCTTCTTATAATCAGTGGAAAGAAACAGGCCCTTCAAGGGTGCAATTCCTCTGACTGACAGGTTTTGATCATAGATCATAGAATCACAGAATGGTTTGGGTTGGAAGGAACCTTAAAGATCACGTAGTTCCAACCCCCCTGCCATGGGCAGGGACACCTTCCACTAGAGCACGTTGCTCAAAGCCTCATCCAGCCTGGCCTTGAACGCTTCCAGGGATGGGGCATCCACAACTTCCCTGGGCAACCTGTTCCAGTGTCTCACCACCCTCACAGTAAAGAATTTCTTCCTAATATCTAACTTAAATCTACCCTCTTTCAGTTTAAAACTGTTACCCCTCGTCCTATCACTACACTCCTTGATAAAGAGTCCCTCCCCATCTTTCCTGTAGGCCCCCTTTAAGTACTGGAAGGCTGCTACAACGTCTCCCCAGAGCCTTCTCTTCTCCAGGCTGAACAACCCCGACTCTCTCAGCCTGTCTTCACAGGAGAGGCGCTCCAGCCCCCTGATCATCTTCATGGCCCTCCTCTGGACCCGTTCCAACAGGTCCATGTCCTTCTTACACTGGGGGCCCCAGAGTTGGATGCAGTACTCCCAAGAGCAGAATAGAGGGGGAGGATCACCTCCCTCGATCTGCTGGCCACACTTCTTTTGATGCAGCCCAGGATGCGACTGGCATTCTGGGCTGCTAGTGCACCCTGCCGGCACATATTCAATACCTACTATAGGATGAGATGAAGTGTATCTTGGAAGGACCTATTCCCCTCCGCTGGCTTGGGTGATCTGCCCAGTTTCAGACATCTGTATTATAGATGTCCAAAGTTAGGTGAAATGAATTCTACCCTCAAGACTCTAAATCCTTCTGACATCTTTTCAAATCCAGGACTGATTTAATTTATAGGCAGAAATTTCAGAAGTTCATTACATAAGATAGGAGCATCGAGTCCTATTTTCAAGCATCTCTGTGTAAAGTGAGAGAAGGAGAGAAAGGGATGAAAGCAATGTGTTGGTCTCACAAGAGGAAGGGGTGGGGGTAGCCAGATTAAAAAAGGGCCAGGAAGAAACATAACAGATGGTTTACACATGGGTAGAAGATGAGAGAAATCTGGGGGATAGAGAGCTGAAGGAGGGCTCAACAAGGTTAGGATGGCAAGCAACTATTCACATGTTATGGTTTTAAAATAGCTGCTGTAGAGGTTATCAAAATGACATATCAATACAGATTTGCTGTAGCTGTCTAGAAATGGACGGTTTAGGGATCTGTTTTTAACAGAGATTTTTGTCACCGGCGTAATTTTATACATGCTGACCAGTGAGGGAACCTTGCAGCAACCTGCTAGCACCCTGTCTCGCTCACCTTAGAAAGTACCAGAAAGAAAAGAAACCCAAACAGAAAAAATGCATCACACATGCTCTCCTAACCCAACCTCAGATGACCTCAATGACTGAAAGAAGACTTTCAGCGACCTTTATATTGTGCCCTGTTTGCCAGGAGACAAATCTACTTTCTGGGCTTTGTTTAGTTAATGAAACACAACTCCCTCGCCAAGGCCCGTGCCGACAGCAGGTACCCATTTGGGAGGGCATCATGTAGACGATGGTCCCGCCTAGCGGGGGACCGGCCACGGCAAATGCGTTATCCTACCTCCCAGTCCCGGGCGCAGTCGGTTGTCGTAGCCGTCCAGCAGACCGTCCAAGATCCTGGTGAATATAGTGATGTTATCATTGGCGTCCTCTTTTCCCGATGCTGTTGGCGTCTGCGAGAAGCTATTTTATGCAAATGAAAAGAAACATGTCAAAAGCCATGCTGGCCTCAAGGGGCTTCAGTCTCAAGGGAACTTTGCGACAGAGCCTCCGAGCCTCTGCCCTCTCCTGCCGCTCCAGCTGAGCAGCACGGGGAGCTGTGGCGATTTCACCACTGCTGTAAGCAATCATAAATAGCTCTCCCTGGAGAAGGAGTACCCAAGGAAGGACCCGTGCCATGGAGGTACGGCCCTGGGGCGCTGGATCGGGGGATGCCTGACCCTCTTGCCATAATGCACAGGGAGATCCCAGTCCCTCACGCTGCCCTGCCCCACCTCAGCCCCACCGTTTCCCCGGTGCTGGCATGTCTCCATCCCCTGCAGGGAGCAAGGTCAGCTCATGGGGCCAGTAAAAGCTGTTACTGGTTTTTCCCTGGGTTAGCCCTCCAGTCTTTGGGAACTGCATCAGCTGGCAGGGGAGCTGCACGAGCGGCACGGGTTTGCCTGGGGACACTCCTTCAAGTCTGCCTGAAGGTACTCTTTAATCCTTACATGCCAAACAGCTTCTAATTTCCACAGTTTATGTAATTTATTGCGAGAACAAAGGATGAACTCTAACCTTATTTGAGGATAACGAACTCCCATTGCATTCAAAAATCCCACCCCAGATCACCGGGGTATCTGAAAAAACATACCGCAGTACAGAAAACACAGTTCTTCATTCCTCCTCTCTCTTTTGCATAAATTAGTCCTCCCTTGTAGTATGCAAATAACAGCAATGTGTAGTGGGCCTCATTCTATACCTTTTGGGCCAGATTTGTTTTTATTCTGAACTCTTTTTTATTTCATCATTTTATCCATGGCTCAGACCTAGGAAGCTGCTCACAGCTCACGGCACAACTATAACTTGCATTTTTAAGTCCGTTTGATTTTAATTTAAAGATGCTTAGGAAAATCCCCTTTGCCTACTAATGCCTTTGCTTACCTAAAGAACAGATGCATAAGTTTATCCATAAGCATGCTTCACCTGCAGCAAACAATGAGCATCTCTTAAGACAGCAAGTTTGCTCACACTCAGTGCTTATTCAAGTTTCAGTCTCTGCTGAAATCGCCAACAAATGCTCCAGCTGCGACAGGGCACATCGCCCCACTAGGAACCGTACCCTGCCTCATGCACTCTGCCAGCAGACAGGAATCACTTACACTCCAACAACTTGAACTCGACGTGCACCAGTCACCCAGAGATAAAAAAATAAAAAAATCCATGTTTATTTACTACTAGTCCCCAGGGAAATAAATTAGTAAACAAACAGAGAACCTCAAAGCATCCCTCCAAACAGCTTGCCTTGCAGAATGCTTGTACCATACGTGTTAGGCTTACCTAACAAAACAGGATTTATACAAAGAAAGACACAGGACCTCAACCTGGTTTTACCTGCACAAGGTTTACACTTAATGGGACCTCGCCGACACCCCTGTAATGGGTCTGGAAGTTTTAGTGACACGAGACCTGGCTCAGGACGAGCTGCTGGTGGCCACGTAGCCCCTCACTGACATGGGGACGCACAGTCCTGCGCCTGTTCCCTTTACAGTTTATGTGCTTCTGCTGGAGAAGGAAAGGATCGCAAAGCCTCTCGGGAAAGGGGAGTGAGGCCGGGAGGTGGGAGCACGGGTCCGATTCCCAGGAATGCCGAAGCACATGCAAACGCCTGGCTGAGGAGGTTCCTCATGGCCCAAGTGCATTGCCACTGCTGCGACCCTCAACAAGCTCAACCCTGGAGAGCCCGAGGCCACCAAGGAGCTCCCCTTCGCTGCAGGCGGTGGAGGCATAGACACAAATCTTGCCCATTTTTCAGGCCATCCCATCTCTCCGTGATCAAAAGACCAAATTAATTCTGTTTTCTATGCTGTGACCACAACCTCTAGTGAGTAACTGAGGCAGACAACATTGCGGACATGTTTGACTACAATGAAAGACACTTAATCCAGCAGATGTAAACTGATTACAGAAACATTAGACATCCTTGCACACCGGACCACTCAAGACAAAAGACTCTATACTTTTTTGTCAATCGTAATCAAAAGGATTCACCAGGTAAAGGTGAACATTTACAAGCAGCAGCCTAACGAATACAAATGGGAGACAGCAGTTACAGAGTTTTTTCATCTGCAGCAACCATAACTAACGCTTTGGTAAAATCCTAGAATACTATTTTAAACTTTTCTCATTTATTTTAGCTTCTTTTTTTCATAAGAAAGAGAGATGCATCATGCTGTCTGCCTGCTTCACCATACCGATGTAGGAACCCGTTTTCATTTTCCAATGCGTCTGACAAAGAAGCAGAGAGATCAAACTTCATTTCATTCCTACAAGTTTCATGAGAAGCAGTGACTAGACAAGGGGAGAGCAATCTAAATTAGTGCCTCGTTAAGTAAAAATGTGAGGTCAGCAGTCGTCTATTCCCTCTGGCTCGCTGGCTGGGCCAGTCAGCATGCATGTAGCTCAGAAACAGCCTCGGCAAAACCAGCCCACCTCCTCTCTGCTAATTAAGAGATATCGAGGAGACTTGCAGGGTGATGAGGAGCGATCCTGGGAGAAAAGGACCGCAGAGGTAAAATGTACGTGTTGCAATGGGAGATGGGAACAAGGGATGCCAAATGCAGAGCCAGGATTATTGCAAAGGTACGGTGCTGGGGGCACAGGATGCAAAGCTTCACTAGTTTCTCTGCTCTTGAAAAAGCTTGCTATTTTTAGTGCTTATGGCTGAATTCAAAGCCAACTGAACTCAGAGGGAAGATTTCCATTGAACTATTTTTGTGGGGATGGGACAAAATATACTCAGTTCTCATAACTGCTCCTCTGAATCTAACAAGAGTAATTGATGCTGCTTCCTTCTATCTCAGCTCTGTACATCTTTCACATGAATAGTATACACACCTCAAATGCTTGAAATACTTTTGTATCTCCACAAGAAAAGCCAATTAATAGAAGGAGAAACGACTAGAGTGAAGACTCACAAAAAGTCTGCACTTCATCTGCAAAACTGCAATCCAATTTAGATTTGGCAGATAGCTTCACCCAAAAAAGAAGGCATCTCATGCTGAATTTCTGAGAAATGTCAGTATCATGTGAAGTTGCAGTTGTAGATGGATTACTGTTTGCCATTAATGCAAACAATACTTTTTCTTTCACAGAAAAGCTAGCGTTTCATTTATATTTTTGAGATTGCTGGTGAAATAGCAACTCAGGTTTTGGAGTGAGTGCTGAGGTTGTCTTTTATGACATGAGACCTTTAAACTGTACTTGCAAAGTTACGTGCATATATTAGATACTACAGCTCTATGAATAGTGAGAAAACAGGTGATATCCTAAATTATTTCCACACAGCTAAAGATTAGGTTTTAACAACATATTAGTAGGTAAGCACATTATTGCCTCTCTGCAACCAAAAATGTTTTTATAGCAGACATTTTCAGTTATGGATAAAAATAAACCTAGAAAAGAACCTTAGGAAAATGCTAAGAAAATTCGAAGATAATTACATTTAAAGCTCATTACTGAACATAAACTAAACCAACCAGGAATACTTCTCATCACATTTATTTACTATTGCAATTTCAGGGCGACTGAAAAAATCAGAAGCCACAGAAGGGGCCCATCAGTGTAAAATGTAATAGCTCTCTAAAGATTCTCAGCTACCTCTTCCGAGGACTTCATTCTTTACCATTTTAAACATCACTGCCTTTTTTGCCATCTAGTCAAAATCATGACAGGTACTATTCATAGCTTAGTTGTAATAAGAGGAAAACGTATGGTAGATATTTCATGATTTTCCCAAAACTTTAAAAAAAAAAAAAGGTAAGAGACACTGGAAAAATAACTGAGGAGTATTTTGCGACTGAAAGGTGTATTTTTCTCTCTCTCTCTCTTAAGAGTAGAGTTTCCAATAGCTTGCTTTAATAGGATTGGAATTACACCAGAACTTCAGACAAATTAACGGTTTGTGGAAAAGACAGTGGAGAATGCACTTGCACACTTTTGGATACTGTCAGCTGGCCAGACATCAAAGGATTTACTTTTCTAAGTTAGCTTCTTACCATCCCTTTCTTACAGATTCTTGAGATATGAAAATGCTGATATTTTGTGAATTTGTGCAATGAAGATTCAATTCTTCCACATCATTAGGACAGGGGAGAGGACTGACTGAAAATAATGAAACTTTAATGGTCTTGGCAGATCCTTAAAGAATAATTTAATTCTTTTATTTAGCAAGAGCAGTATGTTACTACCTTCTGGCAACGAGCAATTTGTGAGCAGTGCAATGAAAGCCTGTTTTTCATAGGGCGACGTCTTATCGTCCTCACCCCCTTGCACCTTAACGCCCCTTTCAATATCCTGAATTTCTCCCAGTAATTAAACACCTCCCAGCACTCTCAGCTTCCCAAGTCACCGACCTGCAGCTTCACTAGGAGGCAACGCGTGCCAGGGCTGATCCTGCACCAAGCACGTGCTGGATGGCCTGCAGGTACACACCTGCTATTTGGCCAGCCGGCAGGCCAAGCGAAACAGAGATGCTGAAGCTGTAGCTTTCTGTTCGGCAGAGGGATTGACTGGTGTCTGTCTGCCTCCTCCAAGCAGTTCTAGGCACCCACTTAGTTTTCCAATTATTAATATTGTCTAATGGGTTCAAAAAGCTATCTGGAGACATGGAGAAGGAAAGGAAAACAGAATTATAAAAAAAAAAAAGGATAAGCATGACTGCATATGCATATGATAATTCTTACAACATCAGTCTTAAAAATATGAGGAAGAACTCCCTAGCATCTGAGAGCACTTGGAAAGGGATAACCCAGCAGAATGAACTGCTTAGGGTTGCAGAGACTAACTTGAAATAACAGTCTGAAGGAGAGGTATGTTTAGCCTAAATAGCAGGATTATGGTCTTAGCGATAAGGACTCTGAGCTAGTGCAAAAGTATGTGAAACTACAGACACGCCACGGACTGAATTCTTCCAGTGTACAGAGAAGTCTTGCGTTGGCTACATTTAATTGGGATCTTCTGTTTTCCGTGTTTCTACTATTATAAATATTATTAGCAGATGGCAACTAAACTGTGGTTACACCAACAACATCCGTCCTCGTTGGTTTCAGCTCTTAGACAGATTTCTGAAATCGCACGTCTAAAATGCAAAGGCACAGGGACCGCACGTCACCAGCACGTCCCCAGAGATGCCCCCGTGGACAGTCTGGGGCTTGCAAAAAAGAGTCAGGATGCAGTAAGGTTGGCTGGCGTGGGGCCGACCGCGTGCTACCTCATCTCAGGGAGATCTCGGTGCAGGCAGTCATCCACCATGCCGACCCTCACAGGGCTGCAACTGCGTGGGCTCCTCGAGGGCCAGAAAGTGCAAGATGCTGGGCAGTGCCACGGCACCCGCGGAGTCTGGCAGGACGGGACCCTGCGTACACTGATTTCCTTCCTCAACTGATGCGCTCAGCCTCACAGCGTTGCTCTTGCGGGCATCAGTCTGAAGGGAGCAGAGTCCGAACTGTTTTGCATTTCCGCTGCCCCCCTGCCAGGAGAGCACCCACCTTCTGCTTGGTTTTGTCAGCCTGACCCTGTGGGCCTTGCACTCATCAAACCGAGACTGAATTCAGTGCAATCCTTCACGTAAAACAAATGGGAGGAATCAGCTTCTTGTCTCACCTGAAAATACTCTTCATGGTTATATTTGACTTTTAATTATTCTCTAGCTCTATTATTAATGTTTACTTTCAAGACAATTGTGATCTATCTTGAAACGCTTCAGTAAAATACCTTAACTCGTTAGAGCATTATACAACTCAAGGTTGAATTCAAGCAAGCTTGAAAAAGCCTTGACTCGTGCTGGGCTGTTTCTGCAGAAGTAGACTCATAAAACTGTTACACCAACAACAGCGGAGGGCTTCGCATCCTCTTCTCGTTTCATCTATATCTTTGAATTTTAATTCAGTGATTTTTCGTTAAACAACTTCTATCAACTATGCTTACAGTCCTTCTCTACTGCCTATTGATGTGGATAACTCTCGATAGTCATTCCACATTTACGTTAAACATTAATCACAGACTTTTGCTGAGATTCCTGAAGTAGCCTAGGAGACTGAGATACATAATTCGTGTTTATTTTACCAGGCATTGTGCATCAAAATCCCCCAAGGTGGCTTTGGCTATGTCAGCAAAAACCGTATTTATGATTTAATATAAATATGGAATGACTATGGAGAATCGTAGACAAATCTCTGCCTTCATCTGTAATGTCCTACTGTATTTTGCTTTTTAATTTGTGCTCATTTGACCAATCACTTTTATCTAGCACATTGCAAAATGTACTGCAATGTAACAGTGCAGTCCAAACACGGATGAAGCTAATGAAGAAGAACCTGGTAGCAACAAGTATTATCAGTATTAGATTCTTGCAGTTAATATACCAGCCTACATGTAAATTGTACCGTTCTGTCCCAAAGAGTCAGTCCCAAAGCACTTAGCAAATTACACTCTGAAACAACTTCTGCCTCTGAAACAGAAGCGCTGGAGCATCCTCTGTCTTTTGAGCAGGGTCAAAATTCAGCCCTAAGGCAGCGTGTGAATGGTGCAGCAAATTGGAGCTGCTTATCTCTGCAGGCCCAGACTAAAATTACTAGATCAGAAATGGGGGGGGGGAAGGTTACATGATGATCTCATTTTAGTGCACAGAAGCTTTTTGAGTAACTCACAGAAAACAAGTGTCCTAGTTTCCCCTAACTGTCCTGTTCTGATTACCTGCCAGGTTACAGGTCACACCGATCCCCACCTGGGACTTAGATTCAGTATTTGCTTTGGAGTCAAAAGGGAGAGTTAAAACTCTTTTTTTGCAGCCTCGCCTATCTAGTCTTCTGTTAGAGGAGTAACACAGTTAAAAGACCCCACACCAAACAGGTCATGCTCACCTATTGCAATGTGCTACCTTCTGCAGGGATGACGGACAATCATGAAGGACTTAAGGTTATAGTCCTCAAGATTTTCTCAATGTGGTAATACTTTGTCAAATTACAATCACGTCAAGACAAGTTTAAAACCAGTCCCACACCACCTATGCCCTCTTAATAGCTATCACAAAGCCCATGGAGAGTTTTGCCTTAAACCACAGTGAAAGCAGGACCAAGCTTTTCCAAGGTGAATAAATCAGTGTGCAGCTCTTTGCATCCTTTGTAGTGTGCGGTCCTACAACCGTTCATATACGCCACTGTGGTCACAGGCTTCCACCTGCCTACGTAAGACACACACTAGAGACAGGGCTAAGTTTTGCTTACAGCATAGACAGTTATCACTCCAAGTTTGGTCTTTCTCCTAGTTCCAATCTGGAAAAAATCACTTTGCTTGAAATCAGAAACTGATTTGCATCTCCATTTTGTATCTTCTTATAGCAAGGAACTGATGGGTGTGCTTGTGAATCAGCACGTTGGGAGGATTCATTTTTTTCTGGTGAAATCATAAATAATTGTTCTCCTCCACAAAGAAGAATCAACCTACGTTTCCAGAGCACTTGCGAAATGCTTTTTCTAGACTCCATTGCATAGCCCGCTTTTGGAAAGTTCTTAAGATCTCTGGGTTTGGGAAAAAAATATATAAATAGGGGTTTTCTGTTTGGTTGTTTTTGTGGTTTTTTTTTTCTTCTAAGAGCTATAGTAGGAGTATTTCTTCAATACAGTTTTCAGAATATCACTATCAGGAAAGCATCCAAAGCAAAAATAAGGAAACAGGATTCCTTGCTATACGCTTCAGAGAAACGCAATTCCTAAATATTCTAGCAAGTTTCAAACTCAGCCAGCCTTCTGAGCAGTCACGATCTTAGCTTACTCGCTAGGAGAGCCTGCACCAGCTAGCAGCATGCACTGAGTCCTGCTGTTGCAGTCTTGCACTGCTGCCTATAGCCTGCACCCCCGCCAGGTGAGAGGGAAGGTGCAAGCCCCCCTCATCGCAGCCACGGGGGCAGGGAGCACCGCAGCCCCCGGCTGTGCTACGGCCAGGTCAGAGCACTCAGCAGCTGTAGGCCTGGTCTGAGCTCCCCGTGCCCCCCAAGCCTTCCCGCAACAGCGTTACGGGCATAAAGAACCGATACGAGACAGTAAATTTGAGCAAGAAAGCAAATTGTTCCCTTCCCCCTGACACCAGCAGGTTAAGATGAAATGCGAAGCCCGCTTGTTTTGTTCGGCTGCTCCGCACCGCGCAGCGCCAAGGTTTTTCATTTTCAAAAAAAACCCACAGCAAAAATTCAAACGCAATAGGCAACTCACCCGAAGTGGCTGGCTAAACTCATGGAAACGCAGAAGAGGAAGATGTTTTTAATCATGATAAAGCCAGAGACCATCCCATTGTCCATTCCAGAGGAGAGGAGGAACGCAGGTGGTTGCTTTGGTAAAGGTGCAGCTGCTCACTTTGTTCTTACGCTGCAACAATACAAAAAAAAGAGATAAATTATTACACAGACAGACGGCAGGATAGCCGAGTTCGGCTAACATCACATCTTCTGCTATCTGTGTTTTTCACAAACTTATCTAGGCTTATGTAAACATCAGCTGTTTACGTAAAATTGTGTATCTTCAAGGACATGTTTTACCTTCTGCTGACAGCAAACCGCAACACAGGAAAAATTCTTAGTGGCCCAGTTTTCCCCTATATTCGTCCGTCATATAAGTAACTAAAGAAATAGTCACCATTTTCCAAATGCCAATTTCGACCCTTTACCTATTTCAACAACTTCCACACGCCTGCAACCCCAGGGCTGTGTGCAGCCTCCGCAGCCCTTCCTTCCATCGCAATTTTTTTCCCATTAAATACCCAGCTTCCCTTTCCAAAATCCCAGTTGAAATGCCAAGAAACACCTACTGCTTCTTGGAATTCATGCTGCTGATGCACGGCTTAGCAAAAACGGTTCGACCCTTTACCTATTTCAACAACTTCCACACGCCTGCAACCCCAGGGCTGTGTGCAGCCTCCGCAGCCCTTCCTTCCATCGCAATTTTTTTCCCATTAAATACCCAGCTTCCCTTTCCAAAATCCCAGTTGAAATGCCAAGAAACACCTACTGCTTCTTGGAATTCATGCTGCTGATGCACAGCTTAGCAAAAACGGTGTGGGATGGGGGTGTGTGTGTGTGTGTGTGTGTGTGTAAAAAGTGACCTTCCTCGCAAAGGCACATAAACCTCACGCTAGCACGAAGAATGACAGTAATGTAGCTGCTCCAGCGACTGCCGATTTTCGGATACCTGCCTCAGCGACCAGATCACCAATTTCAGCATTGTGCACTAACGTTTTCCTCTGTGCCCTATGAAAAAAACAAAACAAAACAAAACCCCAAACCCAACAAAAAACAAAAACAACCCCCAAAAACAGACCCAGAGGGGAGCTGCCTGGATTTTCCACCTGAACCCCGTGCCCCCCGCGCTACACCGCTCAGCAACTTATTCTCCCTACCCCGCCGGCGCAGCAAGGCGAAGAGCCCAAACCAAAAGC